CTCTGTTCTCAAGTCAGCATCAACTGGCAGGATCCAGTTTCATCAGCATACTTTGCTCCTAATATCCAGTCATGCAGAAGGTCCAGTGAGAAAACAGTACTAAACAGTACCAGGGGTACGCAGATGCAATTTTAGAACCTCAAAGAATAGAAGACCTCAATGGGCAGATCACTTTTAATAACTTCTACAGCTGATGCTTCCCAAACCTGTATCTCATCTATAATTCTCTGTTTTGGATTCTTATATCCAGTTTGTAAACTGATAGATTCCAGCCTGAGAACAAACTGCTACTGATTCAACATGGCTGAATCTCCAAAACGATAGCTTACCACTTCCTCCTTCTTCCCTACCCTAGTCCTGGACACCTTTCTTGCGCCACAAGGGAGACCCCAATCAGGTCCTTGTGTGTCACTATACCTGCCCCTCAAACTCCGCCCCTAGCAAAACTCTACAAAAATCTCATCCTTCCAGTCTCAGAGAATCCCCCCATCTCCCTGTCATCAGTCTTCTCCATGTCTCTCTCAATGGCAATAAAGGTCTTTCCCTCCCTTTCTTTTACTTCTGCTTCTCTGCCATAACATAACATAACATAACATAACATAACATAACATAACATAACATAGCATAACCATCGTCTGTTTGTTTTGAGACATGGTCCACACTGTAGTCCAGGTTGTCCTTGAACTCAACAGCAATCCTCTTGCCTCAGGCTCCAAAGTACTGGGATTATAAGCATGTGCCACTACACCCAGCTAGCTGGTAGACATTTCATCTGCACACAAATACATTTCACTCTACACCACAAAATGATACTCATTATCTCCACCAGTCCTATCCTCCTTCTAGATTCTTCCTCTTCCTGAAGAATACTAGCTCCTACTCAACTGCCCAAACCAGTCTTTACTGACTTCTCTTTTTCCTTGCTCAAGATGCATTCATAACCTACGCCAATTTCATCCTCATTCTAAACAAACCATCCACTTCTCTCCTCCTCCAAGACCACCAGGCTCTCCTGGATGGAGCACTGCAACGTCTCCTGGTCTTGTCTGCTTGATCTTCACACCACAGCCAGGAAAGTTTTCCCGAGTCCTTTCCACAGCTTTCCATCCATTCACTCAATGAGAACAAGGCTGTGCCTGTCATCATGGCATATCATGTGTGTGCACTGCAAATACCATGTGTCTTCACTGCTCAAGGTTTCAAGTGATTCTGACCTTGTTTGGGATTCTCCAGCCTCTCTCTCAACAAGAACCCCAAATCTCTACTTGTGGAAGGTACAAAGATAGCCACATTTAGAAACTCAAACTAGATTTCATCTTTATGAAAGAAGTTTCTGATTTTGAGTAACTAACAAGTACATCCAAAGAATTTTCTAATAATAGTCACCTAAAGTAAATGTCAACCCCTTACCTTAGGTTCTTTTAGGTAACAGTGCATGGCCTGAGTAACATCTGCAGCATGGACTGCATTGTGGTATGGATTCTGACTGTGGTAATCTTCTTGAATCATAACTACATCAAAGAAAAGAAAATGGCCCTAATTTTACAATGGGCAAGATTATAAATGGGTAAGGATTCCAACTTTACAATGGGTCACATGTATATATACTTAAAGAAACTGTGACAATTATGTTACCCCTCATTTTCTATGTGGCTATCAACTAAAACTGCCCAGAATTAGAGAAAATAAACACCTCGCAATTCACATGTATTATCTTTCATCACTAAACAGCAGAACACATCTTGAGACGTGCAGATAAGTGCTTTCATTTTACAAGCATCATAAAGTATACTTGTACAAATGAAGATTATGATGCCACTAGAGGATATATTATGGGACCACTGCCATATGTGCAGTTAGTTGGTCACTGATCAAAACATTACGTGGTACATAACTGTCAATGTATGTTTTAAGCTTCTAAATTTGATTATAGTAGAACATTAGCTACCTGATAAACTGATAAAAAGTTAAACAAGTTCTATATAAATCTTTTTTACTGTTAAGCAGGTTTGAATTACTTACCTAAAAATCTACGAAGTTTCATCATATCTAAATGGAAGTATTCAATTAGTCCATGATGACTAAATAAATGAAAGGTTAAGCTTACTAGACTATTTCCTAAAAAGAAAAAAAGAAATATTACATTAGTAGAAAATACACTAATTATACTGTGCTTTTCAATATGGATTTTGAATACCAAGTGTGGTGGCAAACCCCTGTAATCCAGTACTTGGGAGGCTGAGACAGGAGGAATGCACTGAGTTCAAAGTCAGCCTAGGTAACACAGTGAGTTCAAGGCTAGCCTGAACTACATAGTGAGACCCTGTCTCAGAAAGCTAACACACAATACAACAAAAGGGATTTG